GCCGATCCGCTTGACCACCAAACCTGGACAAATAAGCTGTAATTCCGTGGATCGGCCCAACAATGCAGCTTGTTACGCAATGTTTATAGTAGTCTTGACGAAAATATAATTTAGAAAATGAAGTGGATTTAAGACTCATTTTCAGGAAGGGTTAAATTCATGGACCACTAAAAAACAAACCAGGAATTATTGACATCGAATCGAGGGTTGAAATGCAATGCCTTGTCATCCTGATGATCACCCTGCACCAGCAGACCGCAGCAAAGTTCCACGGCAAAACGTTTCTGGTGCGGTTCATGCACTACAGCTCCTTTTAAAACGATTGCTCGGCCCGGGTAAAGACCGCCAGGAATCGACTCGACATATGGTAGTGCCTGAAATTTCGAAATCTATTTTTTTCATGCATTTTTGCAGAATCAAACGAAAAAGAGATCATAAGCACTCCTTGCCTAGACGTGCGTGTATGTATATGTGTGTGTGTGTGTGTGTGTGCGTGTGTGTGCGTGTGTGACATATTTAGGCACTGTTCCCAAAACACCGAAAAAAATGAGTACCACTAAACTACTCGCAAAATAGCTGGAAGTACACTGATCAGAAAAAACAAATTCTAAGAAAGCTTAGCAATTTCGCTGTAAAAGATTTTAGTTTTTAGTTTAAATATCCTTTCTTATACCTTTCTACAGCTAACGGATATAGTGCAGTGGTGCCACCCTCATGCTGAAGGTCGACAATCAATTTTCCTACGTTTCGCTCATTCTTTCAATGGTTAATTGGTATTGGCGCAAGGGAACTCAAGAGCCCAGGCTGGGATGCACCAGGCTTGCCGGTGAGATCATGCGTTTCTGCATCAGAATTGAAGTACTCAGCTCGCTAACTGCACAGATGGTTGTTGCTTTACACCTACCTTGTGAGCTCACTAGTGTAAATCATTTTAAAATTTGCATCAAAAAAAATGAACAATTTCCGTTTTACGGTTGTTCTTTGAAAATCACCTAGCCGCTCAGTGAGTAATTTTTCCCGCCAAAAATTAGACTGCCCATGCGTGAGAGCCATGCATATCTGGAGGCTGAATTTGAAATCTTTAAGTTGTACATGGACGAAACACTGAAACAAATGAATGAAACATAGAGGGATTGGTTGCGCCAAAACTGTCGACCTATCTCATGACGGCAGCAGTTGTGTAATACCACTGCATCACTCGTCAGCATTAAACAAATGGAAGGCATTGCGGGGGTGCGCAAACGGATATTCCTTTACCATATCCGAGCCGAAAAATAAAGATTATGAGTTGGAATTAGGGAAGTGAGAAAGTTGTCTCAGTAATCAATATTTGCGGATTATTTTTAATGGACGAAATGAAAAATATGAAAAGCTTCAGAGAACACATAAGCGATGCGGAAAGGATAAAGACAGATTTAAAATTTAAGAGGAAAAGTACCCTCCTCTTCCCCGTTTTGACTTAGGTAGGTCCATCTTCCTTCTTTTCATATATGTGTATGGCATATCCCTTCATCATTTTTTGTGGCATTTCCCTAAATTCACCTTTATACGCATTTACATTTTAAACACTCTTAATTAGTAAACATCAGGACCACTGTACTAACAAGGTGTGCGTGAACGCTAATTAATTTTTGCGCGTTTTTACTGTACAGCGCTATAACGCTGCTACAGTGAGTAAAGACGCATATTGTCGAGAGGTCGTCTGTGTGTGTGTGTTTTTGAAGGCGAGTGAGCTTTGTCACCCAATTCCAGCTCAGCAACCAGGAAAGCTGGGACATTAAAAATTTGGGGTCATATTCCCGCCCTGTGTGTCACCCTCCCGTTTTAAAAACTTCGCTCATATG